GGAAGCTCAGAACTGGTGACGTTGTAGTACAACTGTAGTACGCGGAGCAATCTGTGGAGCTGGAAGCTGAGAACTGGCGACCGCGCGTAGTACAACTTTAGTGCGCGGAGTAGCTGTGGAGCTGGAAGATGAGAAGTGGGTAGTAGCTGCGAATTGGCGACGGTGTAGTAACTGTAGTGCGCGGAGGTGCTGGGGAGCTGGAAGATGAGAACTGGCGACTTGGAAGTGCCACTAACACGTGCCCTTGATAACAGGCAGTGGAAGCCAGCTTGCTGGCTGCCATTGTCCAGATGGAAAGCCAGCACGCTGGCTGCCATCATAGTTGAAGTGGGTAAAGTGGGTATGAGCCAGCACGCTGGCTACCATCATAGTTGAAGTGGGTAAGCCAGCACGCTGGCTGCCATTGTTGAGATGGCAAAGCCAGCACGCTGGCGACCATCATAGTTGAAGTGGGTAAGCCAGCACGCTGGCTGCCATTGTTGAGATGGCAAAGCCAGCACGCTGGCTGCCATCATACTTGAAGTGGGTAAGCCAGCACGCTGGCTGCCATTGTCCCCTTACCAGCAGCCCAAATGCTCACGACGATGAGCTGGGCTGTCACCGCTTGGCCGCCGGTGGGGGGGTTGGGAGGCCTTGGCATTGTGGACGACCACTTCTTCAGCGTCAACCAGGATGACCAGAGGCAGATGATTCACACGTTATTGTTCAGTCTGCAGTGCGGCATGTGGTGATGCAATTGTTGAGATGGCAAAGCCAGCACGCTGGCTAGCATCATAGTTGAAGTGGGTAAGCCAGCACGCTGGCTGCCATTGTCCAGATGGCAAAGCCAGCACGCTGGCTGCCATCATAGTTGCAGTGGGTATGAGCCAGCACGCTGGCTACCATCCTAATTGAAGTGGGTAAGCCAGCACGCTGGCTGCCATCATAGTTGAAGTGGGTAAGCCAGCACGCTGGCTGCCATTGTCCCCTTACCAGCAGCCCAAATGCTCACGACGATGAGCTGGGCTGTCACCGCTTGGCCGCCGGTGGGGGGGTTTGGGAGGCCGCATCGCACACAAACACCCACACACTCCCTCAACTTCCACGAACACACACATACGCAGACTCGTTTCCACACGGACATAGACACACGCACAGAAACCCACACACTACCTCAACTCACTCGACTTAACACTTCTCACTACACACTTACCGCATAACTCGCACTCTGATTTCCTACGTGATGAAAAATGCTTTCGGGCCACTCGTCGTCTAGTTGAGAAGATGTTTGGAGTGACCTTAGAACTTAGAACATCTTAGAACTGCCAAAGGCGGTGATGTTCTAAGCAGCTCTGTAGCTGCCATTCGGTAGCCACAAGGGCCGCAGGTGGATGCTGCATCAGCAGCTGTGCTTGGAGCACCTGGCATCCACCATCTCATCCAGCTTCAGGCGACTGCGGCCCACTTCCGGCGACTCTGTGGAGACATGGATGCTGGGGTGGGGATTTGACTTTCCACACATGTTGAGTCCAAAATTTCAACTCGATGCAGCAATCAAGTACATATAGAGAGTTATTTTGACTACATGTTTAACCCAAACACGGGTTTGCCTCCTTCATTTGGATTCAATATGTGTCACCACCAGAAATTCCAACGGACTGGTGTTCATTTTGTAAGTGAGTGGATGATCTGGACACCTAGCCTCCTTCCTCTCCTGGTCTGTTGAGCCTCTACACTCCCACTATCAAACAGTGGACCAGGACCAGATCGATGTTCGCTTCGCCCGCTGAGATGCCTTCCATCCGCGGTCGATGGTCGCCCTCCCTCGCCCTCCGATCGAGCGCGCCTGCTGCCAACGCTCCTCGATCGTCCTGCAGACCAAGAGCTGACCGAGTTCCTCATCCGCTGTCCTCAAAAAGGGCGCACACCGTGGTGGGGCGACGATGCAGGGGCATAGTTGGCACGTGGCACACCGGTGCAGGTGCGCCTCTCACCAGTTAGCCAGAATGGCCAGGTTCAGAACTTTTGGACTGGTGACCTGACCCATCAGGGAAGGAAACTCCATGCCCATTCCCTAAAATGAAACCTGCACCAAAAACGAAACCTTCCAGATCTTCCAGAAGAGGCACAACATCAAGCTTTAAAAACATAACACGGAACCTGCCACCCAAAATCCAATCGTTTTGGTAAGGCCAAAGCGTCAACATCCATCCGCCACCCTCTTCAGGCGCCACCCGCACCCAGCCACCATAGCCCTGCGCCACTGCCTTGACGCGCTCCCCGCACTTGCGCGTGCCCTGCGGCGCTTGGGTGAGATGTGCAGGATGAGAACTGGTGGGTTGGGCACCATTTTGGCAGATTGGGGAGCCAATGATCATGCTATAGAATGCTGTAAATAAAATTTAGACCATAAAAGCACCTCATGAAGTTTGAAGCTACAGTGACTCTAAATAACAAAACAAAACGCCTGCGAAGTAGACACCCAACGATGAATCCTCCCCCTTCAAAACGCCACCAGGTCGTCGGGCAAGAATGCCACTTCCAAAGCCAAAAACCTCTCCACCTCAAATGAGGAGAAAAAAAAGACGGATCTCCCTGCCAGGAGTCACAAAGGGGTGCCGAACTTGGAGGTTAGGAGTGCCCAGAACATCCACTCACTGGATGGGACCAAACACCACCCCGACATGTGACCCCTGGTGTGATGGACTCTCCATGCGATGTCACTCCGGTGTCATCCACATCCTCGGGCCTGGATGGGACGTGACTTGGACGGGCCGGTGCGCACGGCCACGAAGGGGCTATAGACCACCTGGAGCACGACGCCGTGGTGAGAACGAGCGGATGTGGGGCAGAACGAGCGGCTGTAAGGGTGGTGCGAAAGACACACGGAAGATCACGGAAGTCAAATCGATTAGAAACACAAATCAAGCAAGCTTCCAGTCCAAAACTCCATGAAATGTGACTCTCAAAAACGTCTGGTACTTACGAGGCGACGCCTGTGCTGGAGGCCGCCTGTGCTGGTGCCTCCCGTCGAACACGTCGTTTGCCGTGCCTCGAAGTGCAGTGGCTCGTTGGTGCCCTGGGGCTCTGAAAGGACCACCGGCAGCGCCTTGCCCACCATGGACAAGACCTTCCCGATGCCTTGCCTGGCGGGTGGTGACTGGGTTCACTTCCGGTGATGGTCCAAGTGCGTCGTGAGACCGTGAGGAACCGTGGTCGTTTTCGAACGGTGCAGGGTGACATGTGATTGGCCCGCTGAGGTGACTTGTTTGATGTCAGGACATGTGATATCTGCATATTTGATCATATTTGATGTCACGTGCGCCTCTCCTACTGATCTTGACCAAAAAAAATACAAAAAGGACACGTGGCCGAACCTGTTGTGAGGCATGGTCCGAGACATGAGTCAACTCCGAATTGGGCCAAGATCGGTCGTGTGTCTGCGTTCAGGGAAGGTGAACATGCCTATGCTTGAAAAGGGCGCATGAATGAAGACCGTGAGCCATTGGCCAGCTCAGTGGGTTGTACATCCCAACGCTCCCATCGAAAACAAGAGGTGGTAGAGGTAGCAGTAGGCCCAGTAGGCGTGAAATTGGAACATTTGACGCTGTCATCTTGGGGGGTCTGGAGAGGATGGGAACCCTACCTATCTCAATGAGAAGTGGAATCTGGCCAAGCAAAGGTAGCTTTGAAAGGCAGTCTTGGTGCGGGGTGGGCGCCTTCGGCCCACCAGTCGTTCAAAAGCAAAAGGTCTGCTGAAGCTTCGGGCCAAAGGACAAGCCGCCCATGTCTTTCACCACATAGCCTGGCTGCCCATGCGGCTTCACCTCACCGGCGCGTGGATGCGCGTGTGCCATCTCTCTCGTTGCCGCGTTGCCGGATATCTTTCCAACCCCCATCGTGAAGCGAGGAAAGAGTACCGAGCTACAGGGACCATTTAGAGTACTCCGCGTTACATCTGCGAAGAGTATCCGTTATCCGGGAATCCACTTGTCCTGGGCAGGAGCAAGCCTCGCCCCCCAAGAAAACACAGAAAATACGGTCAGTTCGGGGACCCTTCTGCTGTGGCCACCACAGAAAGAGCTCCGCGACTTGAGGGCTTTTTGTGGCTCCATGAGGGTTCCAGGTCGTCTTTCATCAACCACATGGTTGGATGCGTTCAGCTCGGTCACCCGGTCAGTAGCATATGTTCACGTCAGAAATTGCAAGAACTAAACCACTGAGCGTGGTACATGTGATGCCTTACTTGTTCCTACCAAAGCCAACGCGGCAACTCACGCAGCACCCCAACTGCCCCCCCGAAACCTCAAAGGCCATGGCACCCAGCCATCCCAGGTCTCCTCGGAGGCCAAGAAGGTCTCCCCCTTGGGTCTTTTGCCCAAGATGGGCGCATGCAACGAGGGCTCCTGGCGCAAGTACACGAAGTCGTGGATCACCTGCCGCAAGCCGGTCGCCGTGGACGTCACGCGAGGAGTCCTTCGAGTTGGACCCCACATGTTCGGCCCCACCCGCCAGGTCACAAATGCTCGAAACCCGATGCTCGACCCGGTGTTCTGCCACGCTTCCGGACCGCCGTGGCCGCTGGCCTTGTACTCCTGCATGGGCACCGGCGCGTTCGCGGCGCTGGCGCCACGGTCGGTGGGTCCGGCCGGCGCGGGCTTTGGCTTCAGCCGCTCCTGTTCCGCGCTGTGCACCTTCACCGCGTGCGATTTCAGCGCCTCGACCGGCGCGGGCAGCTGAGGGGTGGCTGGGGATTGGGATTTGAACCAAGGGCCTTGAGCTTGGAAGTTTCAGGGTGCTCCATCCACCTACTGATGTGGGTGATCTCTGGGGGACCAACTCTCACTTAAAGCTTACTCTTGAAGGGCTTCTGCATATATACATGAGAAGTTCTCTTTCGCCAGCAGTAGCGAAGGGGAGTTTCAAAAATAAAAATATCAAATAAGGAACAAAAAGAAAGTGGAAACAAATGACCAAAGGGAAAACAAATAGTGATCAACAAAAAGAACAAATTCGGGCGATGTTAATGTTGAAAACATAGAGGATCAAAAAACAAGCAACTACAATAGTGGTGTAAGAAGAAACAACTTGAACAAGCAACAGCAGCAGCAGCATCAGCAGCAGCAGCAAAAGCAATACTACAAGCAGTGGTGGTAGTAGTCGTCGTGGCAGCGGCAGTAGTAGCCTGAGTCATAGTACATAATAGCAAGTGTAGCGTCATAGAAGTAGTAGCAGTAGCAGTAGCAGTAGCAGCAGCAGTGGTAGTCGTAGTAGTAGTCGTCGTCGTCGTCGACGTGGTGGTCGTAGTCGTGGTCGTGGCCGTAGTCGTATACGTAGTCGTGGTCGTCGTCGTCATCGTCGTGGTGGTGATGGTGGTAGTGCTAGGGGTGGTGAGTAAGTAAGTAAGTAAGTAAGTAAGTAAGTAAGTAAGTTGTTAGATGCAGAGCTCGTTGCGCTGGAGGGGGTTGGGGGAGGGCGCAGCGCCTGCTCTCCATGGCGTTCTGGCCGCGTCCAGTGTTAAAATCGGGTCCTGGCACTAAGCAGAGCAAACCTTACAGTTCATTGTAATGTTGTCTTATCTTCTCTTATATATCTTGTCTTGTCCTGTCCTGGTTTTCCTTCCTTCCTTCCTTCCCGCCTGCCTTCCTGCCTTCCTGCCTTCCTTCCCTATCTTTCTGGTTTTGCTTATTGATCTCTATAGTCTATAGTGTGCTTTTTTTGGTTGATCCCAAATTGTTTTTTTGGGGATCCCTCTCCCAAATGTAGGGCGTGCCGCTGCCTACACTGAGTATTGGGAACCGTCCTGCTGAGCTGGTTTGATGAGGTCCCACTCAAAACCATCACGAAGTACCCCATGGATGGAACTGAAGACCATCACAATGGCCACCCCGCCCTCACATCCTGCCCACACAAAAAGACTTCAAAGGCCTTGAGGGTGGTGTCGGTGAAGCTCTTTTCGGAGACGCTTTTGAACCTGGCGGACGGCTGGCGGCTTAAGATTTAGAAACCTCTATAGCTATAATAGGCGTTCCCACTACATAGAATAGGTTTGTGGTACAATTTCCCAAGTAAGAAACCAAGGGCCTGTCATTGGAACATGTTTATCTTCCTTTCTCGGATGACTGTGATGTTTCAACAACAACGACAACAACAACAACAACAACAACCACCTTGGGCAGAACATCCAAAGACGAAGCTGCTCAAGTCTGGCTTGGGCAAACGGACGTACTTAAGCATGACCCTAGGCACGTGAGACGACATTGTCATGTCATGCACACATGCATACACTTGGCGCCTGAACACTGAGTGACCCCTCTTTGGAAACTGGCTGTTCCTCTCCATGCTACAAGTGATTCTGGGTTATGGGCACCACTTTCGATATGAACCACCCATTCTGAGGCAACGACGCAACCAGGTCTTCTTGGGTTGTTTTGGTGGGGCCAAAACGCAGGCTTCCTCGTCCGTGGGGCCTCAGTCAGGAAAGATAGACGGGAGCGTTTGATGAATCAACAGTCCACATTAAGTAGCTGACACCCTGACAGGCCCTTGACACCCTAGAGAACGGTCCCCTTCGCCCCCGCTCGGGTCCCCTTGTCCCCTTTCGCCGGCGGTCGCGGTCCCCTTCGCCCCGCGCCTGGCGTTGATGCCCGCCGAGCCCTCGGACTGCAGCGCGCGCAGCAGGCTGTTCAGGTCGGTGACGGTGATCTTCCCCAGGCGCTCCAGCACCGAGGTGATGTCCTGCGGGTCGCGCACCACCGGTCGCAGGGATCCTCGGTCCGAGCGGAGGACCGGGAAGCAGGTGCCGAAAAAAGACCGTGGCATCGTGCGGCAGAACAAAGAACCCTTCACCTTCGGCCCAGAGAGCCGCACCCTGGCGACGACTCCCCCTCGCACGGCGACGGAGGCGTCCGGGCGCCTTCTGCGACCAGTCGGGCTTGGCCGCCTGCAGAAAGCCGGCCATCGTCAGCCCCCCATAGGGCTGTGGACGCTTTTTGGGCGCAGCGGTGGCTGGGGCACTCGTCGCCTGGCATAAAGGATCACACGGAGGGCACAGGCAGCCCGAGCCTTCCAAAACCGAAAAGAGTTCGGTGGACGCTTGTGGTGCAAAATCCTCCGTAAAACAAGAGACGTTCGGCTAAACCCATTAATGGCGGGCCAAGAACCTCAAACTCAGGGGCAGGTCTTTGATTCAATCCAACTCCCAGGCGCAGTCAAATCTAGTCATACGCTGCAGTCAGTACGCTCAGTCTCTTCGTCAACAATTGAGACCCATGGCGTGGATCTTCTTGGAACCCCTACAACCACCTTTGCTGCCCTCAAGTCACCCACCCACCCCTCCATGGAACTGGAAAAAGACACGTCAAACGACAAGTTCTCCACTCAAACAATAAACCACCACACTTCGAAAAACCAGCCACTCACCTCGCCCACTGGCCACGGCCGCCTTGGGATTCAAGCGCACCCACTCGAGCCGATCTGGCCGGCCATTCGCCGCGAAGATCAGCATCACCTCGTAGCGGGCGCCCGCGCAGGCGTGGTCCTGGCGGCCCCCGGGCAGGTGCGGCTGAAGATGCTAAGACCATGGAAGCTAAGTAAGAACTTGGGAAGCTGTACGGCTCCTTTTGCACCGATGCGGCTCGGCCCTGGAACACTACGGATCTTTCCACCTGGGTAGCTTGAAAAGATGCTCCTTCTCCAGTCAGCCATCGGCCCCCTCAAAAGCGCATAGCTTTTGGATGAGCCGCTAAACTGCCAGCGTGACCCTTTTGGATTCCTGTTCCGCTTCTTGATGTTTTGTTTTTTCTCTCTGGTAGGTTCACCAGGCACATAGGGTCGCTCCTCCGGATGCTTTCCGATGCTCCAGCCGTAGCCCTTCTCATTGTCGTCCGGGCCTTCTAAGCGGTGGAACTCCTGCGTCGAGGCGTCTGCAGGTTCCGAGGCGTCTTCCGTCTGAGCTGAGCTTGGCGTGGTGTTGGCAACGAGGTGAGGGGCTTTGGGGCGAAGAAACCGAACCAAGCACGAGAGAAATTGCAAGTGTTTGCCTCAAACCTCCGGGATGTCGCCCATTTTGGGGGAGGAAGTCTTGAGATAAATTAATTGTGTTTGGGGGAAGTCGTGAGTGGGAAAGAGAAACAGCATGATCAAACTAAAGTCCTCTCCTCAGACAGTAGATCCATTGCGAGCTTCCTTTGAATCCGCTGGTGTTTTCTGCCCTCATTCCCTACTGAGATGAAGTTCAACCGCACTTCAGTTCCGATCCAAAATGTCTGTCGTCTGGGTCAGCAACTCCACTGACAGCGACTCATACATGTCTCGTGGTCTCTCCTGTGCCACGGCGTTCGGGCGGTCCGGATGCAAACACCGTCCCGGGCCATCGCCAGCGACAAACAGCTGAAAGCCTCAGGGTAGCTGAGGAACAGCTCAGCGAGGGATTCCGGAAGGGCTTGGGTCTCCTTTTTCTGGGATCCCCCCTCCGAACACTTGGAGCGTGGGCCATGGCGGCCATGGCCTCTGCACACCCTGGCCGCTGCTGTGGGCGCCAACATGGAGCTCTTGGGAACGCGGCGGTCGATACAATAGTGGTTCAAGGGTGGTCTTGTCCATCAGCTGCTTAAAGCTCTGGGTTAGGCATCAAGACCATCATGAACGGACCCTGGACCCCTCTGGTGACAAAGAGGTGTCCCCAGCGGACTGGTCGGATCCTTCACTTCAGGCCCAGGTTCGCCCCCCCCTTGCTGCCCAGGTGCTCTCTGCCGCGCTACTGTTCAGCTGGATTTGAAACTTGTGGCAGCGTCGCTGGACCTCCATGATCATCGGCTGCGGCCGCCAGAAGTTCCTCGGCTGCGGCCGACAACTCCTTTGGTTCTGCATCTCGTGATCCCAAACTCTTTGAGAGATCTCCACCACCGCCTCGAAATTTCCCCATCGTTCCCAAGTGGTTTTGGTGTGGCAGCTGATGTCTTCAGGCCAATGGCTAGTGTAATGTTATTTTATGGTTTGCCTGGTGCAGGACGTCTGTCTTCCATCGACCCTGAAACCATTCAAAAACCCTCAAGAAAAGCCTCACATCGGTCAAGGAGCCAACTTCCACAAATCTCAATGGACGCCATGTCAGCCCTCAGATGCTCCGCCGGCCGCATGAAGCTCCGCGG